TTTGGTGCTGTTCTAAAATATTCAGCTGTGTCTAACTGTAGTCTCTTATAATTAAACTGCTTTTGAGAAAGAGAGTTGTTCCAAGTGGGACTCGGTCCCAAGAACCAGTATTATTTTAGGAATTACCATAATGACAACTGACATGGCAAGTCCAGTGAAAACAACTTCAGGTCATCTCTGGCCACCTCTCCTTGCTTTGGCTCACTGCAACATCACACGAGCAGTGCCACGGCTTTCAGCAAGGGCAGGCAGTGCTGGATGACTTTGCACAGCATGGTGGATGTGGTAGGATTAGGATTTTAGAAAAACACAATAAAGCAAGGTGAAAGGGAATAGAGCTGTGTGCTTGGGGATTACCTGTTTAGACCAATAGAAATAACTGGTTTTTCGTGTTTTCTGTGTGGGTTGGCTTGGGCAGGTTCTCCCCAGCAGCGGTGGATTTCATGTGACGTGTCTCCAGTTCCCACACACAAGCTGTAGTCTGTCACTGAACTATCTTTAATAGCTTTTCATGCTTCTATTCTTAGATGGAAATTGAGTGGTGGCAACGAGTGAAGGCCAAAGCACATTCATTTTAGTCACATGGCTGGGGACTGTTTGCTCCTTAATGAGAGTCTGAAAGATACCTAATCTAATATATCAGAAACTTTTTTTTTTTTTAACCTTCTAGAAGTAACTTCTATTAACAGCATTGATTTCTTTACATCAAGTTTTCTCTCACCTGCTACAAAAATTGCTTTTCAGTGTTACATGAAATATTAGTGTATGTGTATACTGCAAAGGTGAAAAAGACCAGGACTGCATAACTCTCTGCCAGCTGTAATCTCTGTTTTCTTTTCTTTTCCTTCCCTTTCCCTAGGTAATGTTTCTGCAAATCCCAGCACATCTGATGGAGGAACTTTTACAACTGAATCTTCAACAGTGCAGCAAGGAAAGGTTTTCTTCAGCCCCCTCGCTCCGAGTGCAGTGGTTTATACCGTTCCCAATTCGGGCCAGGCAGTAGGATCTGTCAAGCAAGAAGGACTGGAAAGAAGCCTGGTGTTTTCTCAGTTGATGCCAGTCAGTCAGAACACGCAACTGAACGTCAACATGTCTTCTGAAAATATATCCAGTGCAGGACTCCAGTCCCTGGCCTCCTCGTTAGTGAATGTAACGCCCTCACATAATTTTTCCCTCACACCACCAACTCTTTTAAATGCTGCAGAACTGAGCTCTGGTATCTCAGAGAGCCAGTCCATGTCTTCACCCGTGACCAGTACCTCTACAGTGATATCAATCAGCAACACTAACTATGCAACCCTTCAGAACTGCCCCCTCATCACCAGTCAGGATCTGTTGTCCATTTCCACAGCGCAGCCCGTGCTTGGAGAAATCGTTTCGACAAGTGGAGACCGTGTCAGCCACCCCCCTGCACAAGTGCACCAGGATTTTGGCAGAGAGCACAGGTTGGTTCTGCAAGCCGTACCCGATGTCAAAGAGAATTTCTTACCTAATTCTGAGAGTAAGTCAACTGGCAATTTAATGATGCTGGATTCCAAATCTAAGTATGTTATGAGTAACATGGTTGACACGGTATGTGAAGAACTGGAAACGGACAAAAAAGAACTTGCCAAACTGCAGACAGTTCAAATGGATGAAGTTATGCAAGACTTGTAACTTCTTTCTTTTCTTGCTTTCTGTTTTAATAGATAAGTCTCCTGTTGAGGCCCTAACAAACAAACACCTAGTGAGGTGTTTGTGGTTTTTTTTGTTTGGTGGGTTTTTTTTCATTTAAAGAAACCAGAAGAACGTTTAAGTGGTCTGAATCAATGTACAGAGGAATCTCCAGCAATGGAATTAGATTGCCACACTTAGTTTGCATGCAGTATTCTCTTTTAAGCAGATTAAAGGAGAAAGGAAATGGCCAGGGCAAGTACTGAGGAATGGGTACAGGTTTGGCTACCAGATACTACCCTGAAAATTTAACTAGACTCTCCATAGTACAACATACTCTTAACAGTAAGTATACACTCCTAGCTTCAGACGGAAAACAAAAATCTCACTCCAAAATGGTAGAAACAATGCAGACATGTTTTTTTCTGTTTACTTCCAGTCCATGGGCATTGAGAGATTTCTAAGGCACTCTAGACGATACCTCTCTGACTACTTTTATGTTGTTTGAGGTTAAGAAACAAAACAAAATCATAATATTGTTACTGGTTTGTTTGCTTTTTTCCCAGCAGACTTGCATTTAAACCAAAAGTCTCACATCAATCCTGTACAGGTTTCTAAATGCTACAGCTAGTGTTTTGCCAGTGCACAAGAAAAAAGCATCGTTTGAAACTCTAATTATGCAATTCAGAAGCTTTCTATCCAGTATGAATGTAAATATTGTTTCAGTTCTTATAAAGGAGACTTTTTTTTTTAATTAGTACAATGGATTTTATTTATGGTTTATGTTCCCTTTCACTTTAGACATAATGCATTGAAAAGGAAAACATTTTCTGGCTGTTTAATTTATTTTATTGTTTGAGCAGGAAGTAAGCGTAGTTATTTCTGACAAGGTTTTACTTTTTTGTAGTTTTTTTCAAGCAATAGACTGTAAAAGTAAAATGTTAATCACACTGAAACTAGAAAATTAATTCCCAGTCTCACAAACCCAGGAGGTCACTGTTTCTACCCCCTCTGTCTTTGTGTTCAGGGCTTTTTTTTTGTTTGTTTTGTTAGTTATTTGCAATTTAGTTGAACCCTTTTGTGTATTTTTTACAGAATTCCATGTGCCTTTCTTCCTAGTGGCCTTATCTTTGTTACTAAAGCACAGTGGCCAGAGGAATAAAAACACTGATTTGCAAATATCCGTCCTCAGGGCCATATCCTGATGCCTTACTTGTGCAAGGAGACCCACTGACTTGGGTGTCCCTGCTTGCACGAGTAAGAGGAGGTTTAAGAGTCTTCTGGACCTCATGGGTGACATTTCCTGGCAGTGCAGAGAGCCAAGGATGGCTCCTTCTGCCCCACATCAGCAGGACAGGAGGGGTCCGACCGCAGGGTTGTGCCGAGGGGAAGCTCTTGGCTCCATGGGATGAGCAGGAAAAGTTGGATGGGCAGGCCAAGGAAGGGAACCCCATGTTTGGGACAGCTTCAGCTGCTGCTCGAGCAAGGCCCCCATCCAGAAGTGCAGTCGAGTGTGTATTTATATTTATCCTCCCAGGAGAAGCTGCCTGGGAGCTGTGGTGGGAGCTGCAGCAGCCGTGGTCCGTGCCTGGCTGGGGATGGGTGTCCACACCTTTCTCCCTGGGCACAGCAGAAGCAGGTGGGCTCTGGGCAGGTGGAACAGATCTTAACCTTTCCTCCAGAGGAGTTTTTGTAGCATGGAAAAGCACATCCTTAAAGCTTTAAAATAATAAGAAGAATTCAGATGTACAACAGTGACATGCTGTTAATCCTGGTGGGTTTGGTTTTGTTATATTTTATCCTAATGTGAATATATACAGCAACTAAAGCATGTGTTCATCCTCATCAGGGGCCTGCTCTGAAGCTTTTGGAAGGCAATGGGAAATGTTTTCATAAGCTTCTGTGGGCTCTGAATCAGGTTCAGGACAGACCAAGATCACTTGTAAAGGACAAAAAAAAAATTGAAAGGAAAGATAATTAAGGTAGCATATCCCAATGTGTTTGTCTTGATTTTAACTGGTTTCATGGAAAGCTTTTGGGGAATGAAGGTTTTTCTGTGCACTGTGGGCATGGCATCAGCATTCTCGTTGTAGTTTTGCACTATATTGCGTATTTTGCAAGGTTTTCTGTGGAACCTCGAGGCTGAGCTCTGTTGGTGTGCAATGGGGTCCATGCTGTGAGCCAGGGTTGCAGGGAAGAGGGCAGGAAAAGGAAGAACAAGTGTGCAAGGGGAGCACTTGCAGAGTACAGAGTCGCTGACACTGTGCAGGCAGGAGCAGCCCATCAGAGTTGGCTGTCCCCATGTGCTCCCAGGCAAACAGGGTGTTTGAGGCAAGTGCTTTAAAGCAAAGATTATCACAGGCAGGACATGGAGCTGTATGTTCCCCTGGCACAACTTTCCCTGACGTTCCCGGGAGCTCCGCGTGAGCAGGGAATCGGATAGTCCAGAGTTCTCCTAACCATTCTGCTTGTTTATCTGTATGCTGGGCCCCAGCGTGAGCAATCTGTTTCCCACCTCTTCTTCATCCATGTAACTAAGATGGTGATGACAGTAGCTGTATATGCTTTGCATGAAATCATTCAGCCATTTGGAAAATTAGAAATACCCCATATCGCTGTCATTTTAATGGAGAATGTGTACTTGGCTCTGAAGGAGTTGATGGTGGATTAATATTTGGTCTGTGAAGCTCAGACTGTATTTGGAGGCAAGCTAGGGAATATTTCAGAGCAGTTGTTGGTGTGATCATCTCTCATAACTGAAGAGACTGTGGTGTTACAATAGTACCTGTTACTTTAATTTTTCCTTCTTTGCGTTCATTGTGTTACTGAGGCTCTGAATTCCGTGGCTTTGCAGCACAGTTGATGTGAAAAACTGTGTATGTTGTTACAGTGGCACGTTTCTTGGAGTGTCTGGTACTTCTAATAGGAGACTTCCCACTCTGCAGTGGGAGTGGAGGATGTACATAAAAGCAATGTTTTGGGACAAAGTGAGATTAATCTATTCTAGTCTTCCAGATATCGAGTAACTTCCTATTATCTTTTACTCTTTCTTTCTTTCTTTCTTTCTTTCTTTCTCACATTGAAAATAAGTGTCATTCCCTCCAGATAAAGTAGCTATAACCTCATGTTTTCTGCAGGTACATATGCACAATATAAAGACTCATTGCACGGTACAGTGTGTTTAAAATAGAAATTTAAATAAGTAGTTTTATTCCTTACAAGGATAAGTTTTTATTTTGTGGCCCTCAGGCAGGCAGGCTCACTGCTCTCAATAGACAGTACTCAAAGCCCCAAAAAGTGTCCAGGGCCAGATCTTTGGCTGCTGTAAATAAGGCATTGCTCCACTGACTCCCAAACCAAGGATTTTTACGTGGTGTTTAGGGGATTTGGGTGCTGGTCTCCCACACATGGGAAGGCAGTGAGTGTCCAGGCCCCACAGACAGCCCTTATTATCACATCCTGTTGTTTAAATGGAAGGTATGTCTACCTGGCATACACATTCCTTCTCTTCCCTTCCTCCCTGTTATGGATGAGAGTAAAGGATCATTTCAGCTCCACATATGTTTGTAACTTCTAAGTCCACTGGAAATCTTACAGAAAACATTGCCAAATTCTACTGCTTTACTAGTCCCAGGCTCAGCTTTGAAAAATATGCCTAAGGAAATTCTTATAAAGCACGATGTTAAAAACCCCTCTCTTCTTTACTACTTTTGATTAAAGCTGCCTCTGTTTCACCCAGAGCTTTGCAGAAAACCAGAAACACGATGAATTGAATGCTCTGTGTGGACTATTTGCAGCATTATCCCTGTGGTCTTACCTGCAAGGACATTTCAGCAATGTAAATCACAGACATCTATTGGCCAGGTCCTCAGCTGGGCTGAACTAGCACGTTTCCATTGACTTTAATGTCCTTTTTTGCCAGCTGGGAATATGGTCCATTCATTTCACTGGTGTTAGGTCAGGGACGCATTTGGCCCAGTACACAGTGGCAGCACAAACCAGAGCACAAGGCTGACATTGGGTAGAACCAAACAGTCACAGTCTATCAAAGCATATACCTCTTCCCATTTACTGCTTTCCCCTACCTGTGGATTCAGGAAGACTCATTCAGAAAGTGGCTTCACCCAGAGGTGAGGCTGGAAGTGTCATTACTGCTCTCAGTCTGAGATTGATGACAGTAATGGACAGGTTCTAATTTCAAATAATGCAAAATCACCTCAGTAATAATTTTCAGTTAAATAAATTGGGGTGGAATTTGGCCCTGTGTGCGCAGGAGCTTTTCATGTATATAGATTTCCAGTGTCTGTGCACTTTCCTTAGCAAGGGCAGATGAACAAGAGGGTGCATCCCTCCAGTATCATGTGAGATATGTGTGCAGGGCTCTGGGAACATGAGCTGCCCAGTGCTTGTGGTTGAGAAGAATGTCAAATCATCAGAAAGAATAGTAATTTTACAATTCTGAAAACAAAAATAATGGTATTTTTAAAAGCAAGGATGCCTGAAGTCTTCCTGTATCACCTAACAGTTATTATCTTGAAGGATATTTTATACCTTAGCTGTATGTTTCATATAATTTAAAACTTGCTTCTTAAATTTCTGAACTCAAGGAGGGGGTGAATCTTCTGGCTTTCAGGATTCACATTCAGAGGATGTTTGTTCTTTTGCTGCATGTACTGTTTGTCCAGAACTAACCAGTTATTTCTCCAATATGGGTTTTATTGTGCCTTACAACAAATATTAAATTTAAGCGGAATGTACATGTTAGAGGAGGGAATAATAAAGAAGAATTTACTGCACTGTTAGGTGATGCTGCCCCAGAGTGTATCATCAAACATATCTGTGCTTAATTACCCAACCAAAGAGATCTAAAGTATGTATGTTTGTTGTACTGTAATAGGGGTTTGTGCCTGGACAATTAAGTGTTTTATTTGTATTCTGAGATGATGTGAACTTATTTTTCTAAACACTATACTGAATAAACTTTATATTTATACACATCTTGTGTAAATATTTCTGTTTGGATGTCATGTGTGGGCTTTGAATTTTGAGTTGGAAAAGCAATCTGAAGTAGCAGCTTGGCTTCTAATGACTTATCATGAAAGGTGATGGCAACTAGAAACTCCTGTGCTTACATGGGGTTTGATCTGCACCCTATTTAAGCAAGAATGAGACTTTCTGTTGACTTGAGGGGGTTTTGTTGGAATTCTAAAATACTAAATTAAAAAACATAAATCTTATACCTCATACTGAGCCTA